CCCCCTCCCTCTTCCGGAAAGAGTTTCCTCGGAGTAGGCCTCGCATACGAAACATCTATCTGTAAAGTTGAATTAATGGACAGAATTATATAATTAACGGGGCTTGATTAGTTTTCATGCGGTTGTTGTCTCATTTTCATTCATCTTTTACACTGTAGTCAAAATAATAGTGCAATAATGGCGAGAAAGAGCTTTTCGCAACTCGGTATAGTTCAATGTAGAATAATGTCTCACGCACGCCATTGACACCTATTGGGCTTTTTGGGCAGTCAGATATTTCGTTGTAATAATTACATGTGTTTATCATCGGTCATCTATTAAGGTAAAGGGAAAGAAGAACAGATGAGGACATAAAACAATATACTCTGACTCTGATGGCCCGAATAACTTTGCAACGAATAACACAAAGAGAAAAACCGAGCTGATCGAGAAAAAGAAACAACGGGAAGGAATGGGGTACCATGATCGTCAATATCTGCCCCATAGACCTGACAAGAGAAAAAAAAGAAGGTTAGTTATTAAGCTGGCCATTCTCTTTCATAATTAATTTCTCTTTCCAGCCCAGCGATCTAATCATGTTCATCGTATGCTGCTGCGTAACAGAGGCTGCCATGGCGTCTTCTATGCTGGTCTGGGCTGCTTTTCCACCAGGCCACCCTTCAACAACACCAGCTGGCGTCCGCAGAGACCATCCTTCGTCGATACAACATTCCTTTTGTACACACGGAGGAACCCTACCGTAAACCAGACCCTCAACGCCGACATCAGGTTAGGTCATAGATTTATATATATATAGTTTCATATCCAAAACCGTGCTCTCTGACCTAATTCCGGTTCACTATGTCGTGTACTATTGGATTTTTAATTGTTTTTAATGGAAAAGCGCAGCACAATGCTTTTTATATTTATTTATATATTATTTTTTTTATCATTACAAGTATTACTACTACTAGTAGTAGTAGTAGTAGTAGTAGTAGTAGTAGTAGTAGTAGTAGTAGTAGTAGTAGTAGTAGTAGTAGTAGTAGTAATATCATCATCATCATCATCATCATCATCATCATCATCATCATCATCATCATCATCATCATCAGCATCATCATCATCTCAGGAACCAAACGAAGGACAAAGAAGGAAAGGTTGCATGTGCATCCGATTATGGTGAGACTGGTGTTTTGTCCTTCGAACCGTAGCGCGCGCCAGCACAGCAACATTTTTATAGAAAACAAAGCCAAGAGCAGTCATGACCAATGAATATATAAAAACGGTCTCTGGCCATGACAGTGCTTGTTCTAGGTCTTGTAATTCAAGTCTACGTATCAGATTGAGACTTTATTTGTATATTTACCATTGTTTAGAGTTTGATTCGAACGGGTGCTTTGAAAAGATACGGGGTACAGGCGCAGAGGGATAAAACGTCCCAGCAAAAAAATTAAGAGATGCTCGATAAAAATCCTCCCCGCACGAGAATCGAACTCGGGTGTTTTGTGTGCGACGGCAAAATGTCCCACCGCCAAACTATAACTATTGAAAACATCAACAACAAAAAATAGGCGTAAGAATATCATTCATGAATCCACTACAACAGACACACGACTTTACGCTGACATCCTTGACTGACCAAAATTATTACAAAGTATTACATTGTAACGGTATCTCCTTCTCCTTTGGGCAAGCAACGCATTACAGACCGTAAGGCACAACCTGCTATTCTCTCTCTCTCTCTCTCTCTCTCTCTCTCTCTCTCTCTCTCTCTCTCTCTCTCTCTCTCTCTCTCTCTCTCTTGCCATTCCTCTCTCTTGCTCTTTCTCTCGTTGTCCCCCTCTCCCTCCCTCCCCCTCTCTCTCCACCCCTCCTTTCCTCTCTATACCTATCCTGCGCTCTCTCCCTTTCTCTCCCCTCCCCCTTCTCTCTCTCTCCATTCTTTCTCTGCGTGTGTGAACAATAACGAGAACTCACCAATGGTATTTCCCAGATCCAGCATCACAGCCTCCAACTTTAACGTGAGCCAGCCTGTGAAGATCCTTGTCCACGGCTTTCTGCAACATGGCCGTGTGCCATTCCTCATCAACATGACCAGGGCTCTCCTAGATGTCGTGAGTGCCCTTTTCTATAGGGAAAATGAACGTAGTTTATGTATGTTTGTTTGTTTGTTTGTTTGTTTCACCATCATCAATGCCTTTCACCACTGGCAGGGTTTTGGCCTCATACAGGCTCCTTCCATTTATCTCTGTCATGGGCCATCTTCTAAGCTCTTTCGAAGTAAGTTTCATCTCTCTCATGTCCCTTTCCCACATCTCCTCCATGTTTCCCGTGGCCTACCCCTGCCCCTCGCTCCCTGTGGGTTTCACTGCAGTGATTATCTTGTGATGTTTCCGCTGGGGTTTCTTAAGGCGTGTCCCATCCATCGCCACTATAATATCCTTTTGTCCTGTCCTTTCCCACAGCTCTTCATTTCTTAGTCTATCCTGCCACTTAATTCTTAGAATGCTCCCCATACATCTGTTGATGAAAGTCAGGATATTATTCAGTACTGTCTTTGTTGTCTTCTAAGTTTCGCAGCCGTAGAAGAGCACAGACTTGACGTTGGAGTTAAAGAGTCGAATCTTGATGCGCGCGCAGTGAGATGTTGCTTACTTTCTTGACTTTTTGATAATTGATTGAATGGCGACCTTGCCTTGTCGGTTCTTGCTTTAACATCTGCCTCAATTCCACTTTTACCATTGATGACACTTCCAAGGTAGGTAAAGGAGTCCACTTCTTTCTTTTGAGCAGTTTTGGATATGATCAGCCCTACTCTTTCCCTGTGTGATCCATCACTGTCATTTCTTGAATAAACGAAAAGCTACCCCTCTTTCATTCGCTTCTGTCCAGACTAGTTCAAGTGGGTCTCGTTGATTCCCAGTACATGTATTTGTAGTTGGTATCGGTGCATCTCTTCTAGGACCTGTGCAGTTTTCCAACCTCGCAAAAGGGTCATAACGTTCCACAATCCAATCCGAAGAGACTTGGACTAGGATGATGGTGGAGGTATCTGCCCAGCAGCTTCCTTTCGACTTTCACTGCCTCGCATAATAAACTCTCCATTCGGAGAAGAGTTTGTTTTTTGCTGTAAATTGTGTAATTGTGGGGTGAGAGGGACCAGGGGTGGGGGCGGGGGAGGGAAGAGTTATGGAGGGGATA